TACAGGCTATGGTCTGGTGATTCATGATTAAAAAATAAGAAATATCTTTCAGAAAATAGAAACCTTCAAGTTTTTCACCTATTTTTAACCTGAACATCATTCTTCCCTGAGAGCCTTTTAGAATTTGCACACAGACATATCTACTTGCCTTTGTTCTATCTGGAAATAACTATTTTGAATCAGGAATGGAATTTTCCTGCTTAATGTTTTTTCTCCATGTTCAAGGGTTTGGTTTTTTTCCATACAGAAGTAAAAAATTGTTCTCTTCTGAATGTTGCCATCCACTAACACCTCCTTTAGGAAAGGCTTGGATTTGCTCATGTCTAAAGTCACTGCAGGGTAGCATGGAAGATAATGGAAAATCAAGTGTCAACTATTGCCTTTTAACAGTAAAAACATGATCAATATTCCAGGAGCACGTTATTTTAAAGAAAGGTTTCCAGCTCCATAAAGCCAAGATGAGCAGAGTGTGGCATTGCCCAGACCTGCCCATTTTTGGCATTATTAATAAACCCCAGGGTTCCTCAGAAAGGACAAAATCACTTCTATCATTCCGTTTTGTGCACTTGCTAGTATTTACATGTTTTAGAAGCTGGTCTCTCTGGGCTTGATTACTTGGGGGACACCTTGCATATTAAACTGAATCATTTTTAATATTAAAAACCTGCTTGAAACTCTTTGTGCAGCTTGAAAAGCTTTCTACTCTCTTGTTTTGCTCCTTAATGGAGGATCAAACACTGTCTGTTTGCTTGTTCCAGGAACAAATGCAAGCAATGGCACAAAAATATCCTGAGCATCATTTTAGTTACTGGAGGGGAAAAAAATCACCGCTTAATTCTTGATTTTTTACTAGATCCACTGGCTCTATAACTCACTGCAGACAGCGCTCTGGCTTGGTGCTGTTTGTGGGCTGAGCCCTTCAGCTGGCAGGAATAGGTGTGGTTTTACTGTCCTCTGAATTTCCTCAGCTCTGAGTGGCTCCAGAAGCGCTGTGTGAAATACCAGAGTGCCCAGGCAATGGGAGAGCTTTGAGCATATTTGTTCTCTAAGGGGAAAAATCCCCTGAAGTGCTGAAGGCAGGAATCCATCTCTTGCTTCCTCTGTTCACAATCAGACCTCAGGAGCATCCCTGCTCTCCCCTGCTCAGCCACAACTTCCTTTTCTTTTAATTACAGAGAGGGAAATGTTAGCACAGCTCAGCTGCTTCTGAGCCATTGATCCAGACCAGTAACTGAGCACGGGGGGAAAGGGAGGGTTTTACACTCTGCTAATAATAAGTACTGGCTTCTAAGGGAAGTTTTCATTGAATCATGGAATGATTTAGGTTGGAGCAGCCCTCCAAGATCATCCAGTCCAGCCATTCCCTCAGCCACCACTGTCCCCAAGTGCCACATCCACAGAGCTTTTAAATATTTCCAGGGGTGGTGACTCCCCCACTGCCCAGGGCAGCCTGTTCAAGGCTTGATGATATCCCAGTGCAGAAATTTTCCCTAATATCCAATTTAAACCTCCTCTGTGGGCTGAGCATTTGTAGCTGGTGCCACAGGGTGCAAGAAGAGGCTTTCCCAGGAGTTTAGCACTAATTATATCTGTAAAAGGCAGGAATGCTGGGCTAATTTCAAATGATGGATTATGTGTAAAATCAGCTTTCCTTCGGAAAAAATTCTCATTTATGGTGAGTAATGAAAATAATACTTCTCTGGTCAAGCTGAATATATTAATGAGTAATATAAAATTAAGATAAATCACTGTTGAGCAGTGCAGTAAATATGCACTGAAATCAGTCAAGTTTGCATCACATCCTATTAATTACTGGGATTCTCTTCCACCAAAACAGGCTGTGTTATGTTGTGGTCTCATCCTCCTGAGCCACTTCCATGCTCACATCCCAGCTCTCCCAGAGGGCTTTTTATTCCCCTCAGTTCTCACTCCCTCTTAGCAAATAGATCCTTGTGTACTGAATGTCACAGCACTGACCCAGGGACCTGCTGTACTGGAGGTCACAGGGTGTTGGGGGATTTAAAGCTGATGATGCCATTGAGGAATCTTCAGTATTCTGCTCCAAAAACAAGCAGGTTCATTAAGGAGCCACTTCATTTCCATTCCCAGTTTTGTTCATGTCCCATAGAACTGAGGAAGTGTGAGGTTCTGTGATCAGCCAGCGCGCAGCCACCAGTGATGGGCGAGCTCTTTGTGTCTCACCATTTATTTATTTCTTAACGCAGCCACCAGTGATGGGCGAGCTCTTTGTGTCTCACCATTTATTTATTGTTTAATTTTTTATTATTATTATTACTATTATTACCCACTTGGTCTCTGTCCTGAATATCCTGATGGACTCATCCTCTGGGCTCTGAGTTGCAGCTGGACAGCAGCACTGTCCGTCAGGGATCCCAGCCAGGGGATCACCAGTGTCACCAGAGGACATGGGACACCCGGTGTCTCCTGGCTTCCCTTCCCCAGCCCCAGCTCTGGGGAGAACTCCAGGGCTGCTCTGCCCCAGGAGGGGGAATCCTAAACCAGCAAAGCACCGGGGATCTTTCTCCTGATGTGATTCTTTGTGTGGAGAGAGGGAAAGGGAAGGAAGAAAATGTACCAAATTTCTGCAAGCTCTGGCTTTCCTCCCTCTGTTTGCAGAGCTGGTGTGCGCTGCCCAAGCCAGGAACGTGTCTGGGCTCTTCCTTTTCGCCGTGCCGAGTGTGCCAGGCTGGTGCTGCTCGTGGAGCGTGGCAGTGACCCGGGACACGGCCCTGCCGCGTGTCCGAGCTGTGGGCTCGGGCCACCCGTGTGCCATGGGGCTGCTGGGGCAGAGCCCTCCGTGCCTGGAGCTCAGCCTGGCTGGGGCTGGGCCAGCAGCCCTCGGGTCCCCACGGCCACTTTCCTTAAGGCTTTTTATGCTTTCATTGTGTTTGACATTTGGAAGGCTGAGCCTCATTCCAGGCGGGCAATCGCCGGCACCAGGCTGGAAATGAGCTCTGTAAGATGGAGAACAGATGAAAAAGGGAAAAGAGTGACCACAAAACTAAAATGAGATGTGAGGCAGATTTTTGTCTCACGTGATATCTGTTCAAACAAGAACCTAGAAACCAGAGACCTTAAAAATGAGAGCAAATGTGGTCTCTCTTTACCCTTTGGGAGACAGAGACATACTTGGTGCATTTGGTGCATTTGATGCTCAGAACACAAATTCCCCTGCTGATGTTCCAGCAGTGCTGCTTGCAAGGTCAATGCTGCTTTTGTGAGTTTATTTTTTATAACCCAGCTTTCCTTCTCTTTCACCATTCTGAATAAATGCTGTTTTCTGCCAATATCAATTGGCTACTGGAGGAACAAACTCCTGTACCATGGACCAAGGAAAGGCTAAAGAAAAACACTGCTCCTGAGCATCCTCCTGGACTGCTGGAGCAAGCAGGCAGATGGCTGAATTTGAGTGTTTGTGTCTGTCGGTGACAAACTAAATTTCACTTGCAAGCTCAGTTTCTGCCTTTCTCAGCCTCTTAATGAGGCTGATGTTCCTTCTGAGAATGTCAAACAGTGGCTTCAAAATAGAATAAATTCTTAATAATGTAATCAGATAGTTAAACATAAGCACTTGCAAAAATTTTGGCATTAAGTGTTCTCATTAAAGTCGGTTTCTTCCTTGTTTATGCCAAATAGGGCTAGGAATGCTGAGGCAGCAGGATCTGAGTCTCCTTCCAAACCGCCCCAGATCCATCCTGAAATGATGTAGCAGTGCTGAGAAAGCCAAGCCCACGTCCAGTAATGTTTTAATTGAGTTGGAGCTGAAATGGTGCCCAGAGGGTCTGTGCAAGGCCAGGCTGGTTTGGCCTGGGAGCGAGCAGCCAGCTGGAATCCCAGAACCTCCTGAGCTCATCTCCCCAGCAGGATCACCGGGTCCAGCCCTTGGCCCTGCACAGACACCCCGAGAACCACACCAAGACCTGTGGCTGCAGAAACCTGCACCTCAAAAGGCCAGGGGAGGGGGAAGATCTTCCCTCTAGGCAACGAAAGCTGAGGCACAGCAAGTGTTGCCTCTGCTAGTGGAGATTCTGGAAAATCAGTCATGATTTCTGCACTGGGGGAGTTTTTCTTAGGATCACAGTGCTGCCCTGAAGCTTTTTTGAAAATCACTTACCAATGTGAGATCACTCCTACTGATCTCATTTACACAGGACTTTGTTCTGGGTGTTATTTTTCATTAAATAGGATTAATTTTGAAAGGTTAAAATGCTAAAGAAATTACAATACTGAAAGCATGTTACAAAAAAACTAGGAATTTTTTTATTTTTTTTTTAGTAAGGAGTCAAAAATTATATCCCAGTGTAAGGTCCACTCTAGGCTGCAAAGCCTGGCTCACAAAAGGGTCTGGAAAATAAAGATGAACTGATTCTGCTGAACCCACCAACATGGGTTTAATTGCTTGCTTGGTTTTGTTTCTTAGACAGAAATATATAGAGGAAATCAAAATGGGAAATTAACAGAACTGTAGCTTCCCTTCCAAACATCTTGGTGGAAAACCCTCAAAGGAAGAATAGTACTTCTGTGAACATGAGTCCTCCAATATACTGTGCTAATGGTTATTTCTCCTGTACCAATGTATCCTGAAATGCATCCTGCAAGGAGGATGGGAAAAGAGTTTTAAGTGGAGACTAGGAAATATTTTTACTTAATCAAGAGGATAATATTAAATGACTCATAAAACAGTTGGCCAGTTGCAGTAAACAGAGGTTGGGAAAAAGGCAAAGATATTCCCTTGGTTCCCCACCCCAGTGGTTTTAGGAGTAGATTTCTAAAACACAACAGCCTTGATGAAGAAATGGGATTGAAGTAAATGATGCCATGTCCTGAGAGGGGAGTGCACACAGAGATCTCAGCTCAGAGGGGCAGCAGCGAGGCAAGGAGGGAACAGCACGAGACAGAGAAGGGAACCTTTCTCCTGCAAAGGAGCAGGGAGAGAAACTCCACTTAGAGCCAGGCTGTACTGTGCAAAGGAGCAGGGAGAGAAACTCCACTTTACACTTAAAATGTACTTGGGACTCTGGTGGTGAAGAAAAGCCTCTTTTGGATTCTGGGAAAACCATTTTAGCCCCTTCAGGATATTAAAAAAGGAGAGGAGCTGAGCTGGGCGTTGGGTACTGAGGCATCCCAGCTTCAGAGTGCCTTCAGTGACCTACTGAATTCAGGGGACTTTTAATGAGCACTGGCTTCAGGGAGAAAGTAGTCCAAGTGGTAATTAGACATTTACTGAGATGACCAAAATAAAGGCTGCAAAGTCATTTTAAAACTGATAGGCTACCTTTTGGAATATTTTTCCTAGATGAGTGCCATGAGTTTCACTGCATTCCTCTCTGCTTTCAGCCAAACTGGGATTTAATAGATTTCAGACAAACTATAAATGGAGAGATGTATGTACCTGTGGTGGTTTCTCATACCTTTATTTATTATAAATAAGAATACCTGCAAGGCCTTACAAGCATTTGCTTTGCTGCAGCTGTTTCCAAATGCTTTTTCCACTTCAAGGCTGGGGATGAAGGCAGGTCTGAAAACACCACCACACAAACGTGGATGGTGGATGTGGTGGTTTTTAATTGCACATTTCTGTCTCCCTTGCAGAAGCTGAGCAGTTTCTCTGCAGTGCTGAATTCAGCCCCACTGCTCTGTCTAACCCCCAAGCTCACCAAATTCCTGCAAGGAAGAAAACCAACTGCCTGTAAAATGGGGACTTGCTCCAGGAATCCAGCAAAATGCTGATGCCCATTTCTAATTTATTAATTGAACCCTTGAAAGCGTTGCTTTGGCAAACAGCTCTTTTGTAGCTCTGATAATTACTGAATAGGGATAATCCAGCCTTCCTGCTATTCCATGGTGTACTGGGAATATACACATTGAATCATCTGGTGCCCCAAGTTTGGCTCGGATGCCAGGATGAGTTAGTGCATAGTTAAATATCTGGCAGATTAATAAAAAGCATTCCCATCCTCTTTCCATGTGCAAGATACTTGCAGTGAAAATATATGTGAGGAAAATAAAGTATTGGAAAAATAAAGCCATCTGGTGTGAGAACAGCAGAGCTTGTTGAGAAAATGGTGTCTGCTCTGAAATGGGCACAAAACAAACAAACAAAACCCCTCCCCATGATTCTAATTTCTTCCAGTTGCCTTAGTTCAATAAATGTATTCCATCCTTTTCCTCTCCTCCACTAAAATCTTTTAGTTTCCAAGATTTAGAAGGAAGAGCTGCTTTGAAATGAGTAATTGAACCATTCAGTTTTCATTCCTTAGGACAGAAACAGGATTTTTTTTCCTAAACAAAATGATTGAGTGTAAGGTTTGACTCCTGCAGGAGTTCATCCAAAAAATGCATAAATCTGTGAAAAGTTTATATTTAAAGACAGAGGCATTTTTCAGTGAAAAATATTAAGTTTGAAAACTTAAATCTGAAAGTTTCAACCAGAAATAGTGGACAGGGTCCAAAGGCAACTTGAGTCAACAAATCACTGAAGAAAAGCCATAAATGGCATAACATAATCCTGAAGGAAAATTGAAATGACAGCTCTATGGCACAAAAAAAGTGAGTTACAATTACAAATCAGGCTGTCAATATTTTGCTCCTCCACCAATCCAAGTTTACTGAAGAAAATTCCAGCTGCTCTCCAATTTTACCTGGCATTGGGAACAGCAACGAGCCCATGGCAGGTAGGAACCACTGGATGGATGGAAATGGGAGCAGGAAGGGTCTCATTTCTCTCTGCCCACCACACTTGAGCAACACTTTGAAGAGTTTCCATCATAGCTGACCTGAACAGAAATCCTACATAAAAGGAGAAAAATCAGTATCCTGTTAGTGTTTAGCTCAGGTCCCAATTTCATGTGTTCAATGTTGACTTACAAAGTTACTGAATTAAAAAGCACAAAATTTCTAAAGTCAAATAAAAACTTTATATCCTTTCCCTTTCCAGCTACCACCATCATTCTGTGCACTCCAAATAGTTGTAATTAACTAGTGACAACTCTGGGGCAAGGAAGAGCAGAGGCTCTACAAAAACTACAGTTTTAGAAATAACCCTTTCCAGCTACCACCATCATTCTGTGCACTCCAAATAGTTGTAATTAATTAGTGGAAACTGGGGCAAGGAAGAGCAGAGGTTCTACAAAAACTAGTTTTAGAAATAACATAGCTCAAATGCATCACTCTGCATATTTTTTTAGAAATACACGTTGGCAATGTAATCAAATATTGATCCTCCTCTAAAAAGCCATTGTTACAAATTCATTCTCACCTTCAGATGTTCAATGCCAGATTTTCTGAAGATTCATCTTGACAGAATTTCAGGTTTTATATGTGATGTAAGATTTGTTCTTCCTTTTTCTCAAGGGTCTTCCTTGACTGTCTTTACCAACTGAATTTCCATGCTCAGGAGAGGAGGTTTGCAAGGACTTGCATTACTTGCATTGCTAAAAGCTGGGTTGCCTGATATCTCTCAGGCTCCCAAAGTTCACATTCTGAATTTCACTCCCAAATTTCACATTCAGCACCCCGTGCCAGTCTGCACCAGCCCTGGTGCTTTCAGCTGGAGTGAAGAAACTGGACAGGTGGGGACAGAAACCTTTTTAATTTACACTTCTTAGTGACCTAAAAATGCTTATTCAGAGACTCATTAAAGCTGGTATTATCCCTACCTCTGTTCTGGAAAGCAATTAACCAGTTTAGAAAGTGGCACATCCCTAAATGCTCTCTCCAGTCACAGAGATTAGGAACCATCACTCTGGATTAGGCAATGGATTACAACATGGAGAAAAAGAGACTTGGCTGGAAGGGTTATGTCAAGAAAAGGAAATGATGCCTTTTGATTGATGCACCCAATTAAAACTGTCTGAAAGAGCTCAAAATTCAATCACAGGCACAGGGAAGTGCTCACAAATGCTCTGAACAGCTATAACTGTTCATACAAATTATTTAGGAGAAATATTTGTAGAAGAAAATGTGTGGGAGAAAAATCTAAACTTTGCTCAGTCAGTTCTGGAGTGGAAACTGCCAAAAGTCATTAAATTATTCACTAACCATCATTTGTTCAGCTCAGTGTATCACAAAAGTTATTGATTAGGAACTTTGTAGGAGTTGGATGTATTTACAGAAATGTGTTTTCTCTTCCTTCTTGTTACTTTTTAGCATGTTGGGATTTTCTTAAAAAAAGGCAGAGGGATTAAGTTGTGCATTATTTATGGCAAATGCTCCCTGCTCAGATCCTGAGCTAATGGGGATGGCACCATGAGGATTTTTTAACTATTCAATATTGCATTTCACTTTTCTAAATGAACAGCCTTTGCCTAAAAAATACATTGGAGATGATGAGAGAAAAGCCAAGCAAAAATCACAGACATAATACTTTTGAAAGAGTAAAAGCTTCCTGGTGGATGTTTATCAAAATCTCTGTTGTCTGAAAAGCAGAGTTGTTTTTTTCTTTTTTTCCTCTATTTACTTCAGCACAGCAGAACTTTCCCCAGATGGGATTCAACAGCTTTTTACCTTAGAGCAGCACAAATTCTTGACTCTGAGACTGCGCAGTGCTGGGTATTGTTTATTATAAATCCTTGGAAGTGGCTGGCACCTACAGAAGGATCCAGTGGCCATTAATGAATTAATTTCTATTACAGGGGATCAGAAACTTTTCACTGTTCACTAACAGACAAAAATGCCTCATCTTGAACCCTGAATTCCAAGTGTGTGGGAGGAGGTTTCCTCCCAAAACCACAAAATGCAAATCCCTGTTTCCAACTGTGCAGAGGTGCAGGGCTCCTGCAGCACTCACTGAGATCAGGGAGGGACAGGAGGGCGGCCAAACGTCTCGTCTGACTGGTGTGGGATGGAAGTGGAGAGGAAAGTAGGACGAGGAGTGCTCACCCTCTGATTACTCTGCTCTGGCATATGCTTTTAATCTCTCGGAAGGAGCGGGAGAGTTTAAGCCTAGAGAGGATTACTGTGGTAGTTTTCTGTTACTTGTGCTTTGTAAACGGAGGCTTAATGTTTTAAGTGCCTTACCCTGTCCCAAATCTCCCCAACTTTGGCATGCTGTTATTTCTGGATTTGGCCCCTATGCAAAATCAAAGGTAGTAAAATTCCTTTGGATGAAAACCCAGCCTGTGGGTGGGGATCTGTGAGAAGCTGATCTCTGGCTGTGATTCTGAAACTCCTCCAGTGGAGTCCTGTGCTGCAGATCTGGGAGCAGGAGGTGTGGAGGGAGGTGCCAGACTGTTCCTGAGAATCCAGCTCAGCACAGCTATTGTTACACAAGAATATGCAAAATAATTGGGGCTGATTTCAGTGTCACTCCTGGGAGTTTCTGTGCCGGCAGCCACAAATCCTGGATGCTGAATGCTAACATATGCCAGGATGGGAAAGGCCTGTTGCTTTCAGTGTAAATCACTTTACAGTCTGTATTTCCTGCAGGCTGACAGAATCCACCGTGGCAGCACCAGGAGAACACTGGGCACTTCTCACTGAGGGGCTGGAGAAAGTTGATGACTAAAAATGACAAAATCATCTTTCTTTTTAGGGCTTGTCCCTTTTCCAGTTACTTTAGGAAGGTTCTTACATTGCAATGCTAAGCCCTTTTTCACCAGTGGCCAGAAAGCAACAGATGTTTGAGTGTTGCAGATTATTTAGACAATTTCTTCCTAGTTCATAACTGCTGAAGCATCAGAACAAGGAAAATGCAGAGCAGTGCTTACCAAGGCATTAGGGTTGAGGTTCAGTGTCCACAACTGGAGTTGCAGGAATTAAGCAGAAGTGATTTTTAATGAGGAATTGCAATTGGTTCCTTGCTCCCTGGCAAACCGAAAAAGACACAAAATCAATCAAAACTCAGTGCAAATTATTCATCTGACCTGGCTGAGTTTAGCACAAACAACCCAACGTGGCAGCAATAAAAGGCCCTTTGCTCTGAGGGGCAGCAGAGCCCTGAACCCAAAGCTCAGCTGAGTTAGAAAGCTCCAGTTTGGGTCTCAGGTCCTTTCCCATCCCAACTAAACAGACACTTGCAATTTCCCAGACTCTTCAGGGAATACAGTGGGTGTTTAATGCAGGGAAAAAGTGCAGGAACCACCAACATTTCACACCCAGTCTTAAAAAAGGTACCAAGCTGGATTAGGAGAATCATGAATCTTTCAGATGAACAAATGTTCAAATCCTGGAGCAGTGTGCTGGTGAGACAGAGGTTTAATGAACTCTTTAGAGGTGGTATAAATTGGCACAGCTTCAATGGAGCCCACAAAAAAAAAAGGCCTTGGCTCTATATAAATATACAGTAATGATCTCCCTCTCTTCTGTTGGGAAGCTTTTATCCTCAAAAGCCACGTTCCATGCGAATTATCTTCATCATTTTCCCCCATTTTAAGCTACAGGCTCTGGCCTCTCTATTTAACTGTAGCACTTTCTATCGGAAAATCAGGCAGTGCTTTCTAAGGGTAGCTCATGCATTGAATTCAGCTGTCACAGCTACTTGTGCTGCCTTGGGTAATTGGTTCCTCACAAATCTTTATCTAAAATATAAAGGCAAATAACTTTTAAAAACCTTAACCTAAACGGAAGCAGTAAATTAGCTCACAAATTTCTTTTACTGCTGCGTTTTGGTTGGATTTACTCAGCCCATAAATCAGAGCTGGGCAGGACGTTTGCAGGGTGATGGTCACGAGGGGCTGAGCCTGGAGCCATAAATGCTAAAGCTGAGGAGCCTGAACCAGGAATGATCTCAGCTCTCCTCCACACAGGGTCTGCAGGTTCTGCTGCTTCCTCGGGATCACAGCACTCTGTCTCACATTTTAAACATTTCAGGGACAATTTTTTAACTGTAGGATGGGAGGAGGTTTGTGGGGGCCCAGATTTCTCTAGTGAGCAGTGGTTGGAGCCACCACTCAGACCACAGGACAGCAGAATGTGGCTTCCTCTTTAGCCCCTTTGGTTTGAACTCGTGTGCACAGAAAAGTGCTGGGAAGCAGGTGGGGAAAAGGGCAGGAAGAGCAAATGAAATTGTGGCTGAAAGAATTGTGGGGGAGTTTCAGGCAGGGCAAGGCAGAGGGCCTTGCTGTGCTGAACCTCCTGTCTCCTAAAACACATTTCCAGGAATTGTCCAACCCCCAGACTGTTAAGCCTTAAGAAAGCAAAGATTTGGGCTGTAAACACTTTGGTGAGGTCAGTTGGTGGTTCTGACTCTGAAGCTGCTGTTTGTTTTGTCCTCTCAGTGCAGTGGGTCCTTGCCCTTTGAATCTGACTGAACTGTGTCTGGCAAACCAAGTTCTGGGATTGTCTTGTAAAGGTCACTCGAGCTCCTGGGTGCTCTTTCAACCTGCAAGGCTGAGGAGATCCATAAAATAAAGATTTGCTTCTGGTCCTCAGTGCTGCTGGCTAAAAGCAAAGGAGAGTTCATGGAGGTGCACAAGGAACGTCCCAGGCTGTGGAATTGATTCACCTCAGGGCCAATTCCCAAGCCTGCAGCAGTCCTGTAGGATCATGGTGTGGCTTTGCCTGAATAAAATCTGCTGAATCCCTCATGCAAGTCCTGGAGAAAGGGACAATCCAACACTGCCAGGACTGAGGCACCCAGCTGTGAGGGACTGGAAAGATGGGTGTCCTGAGACAATCTGGGGGGCAGGGTCAGGCTGGGCCTCATCCTGCTCCACACCCCATTCCCAGAGCTTTATCCCAGCCTGGCAGTGCCCACACCTGCCCTTGGAGCCCCAGTCCAGCTCCTGAGGGCCGAATGCAAGGGAATCCCACCTGGGGGAAGGGCCAAGGGGTGATTAGGGCACCTGTGTTGGCACTGTCACCTCCTGCAATTCCCATCAGCTGAACACTGCTGGAAGCCAGGGGTTGGTAACGTGATTTTCTATATCTTTTCTGTCTTTCTCTCCTTCTTCTAATTCCCTCTTCTTGGAATTTTTAGGTAAATTAAAATGGGCTTAGTTTGCTAATTCTTTCAGAAGTGTTTTATGTTGCTTGAATGTTGCACTAAACCTTTTGCCACAGTTCTCTGATTTTCTGAAGTTGCCAGTAAAGTCTTCAGTGTTGTTTTGACCTCTGGAGGGTTATCTTCTCGGTATTTCCCCCCTGTGTCTAACTCAGAGTACAGGAACCATTGTAAGTCCTTTAAAAGCCTCATCAGGTGACTTTTCTGGGGCCTTACAGCAGCTCAGTGGATTGAGGATGGTTGCAGGTAGGAGTAAGTCCTTGTTGGAATATTCCTGATTTTAAATACTGTACTAAATCTTATGTTCTCTGTTATTGAAGTAGGTCAAGGAGTTTGTTTTCTGGCATTTCCCCTCTGAATCTCTTATATTTTTGCAGTCAAATTCTTCTTAAAGTACTTGTAAAGTATTTTAAAATTCAGGGGTTTTGTTCTTGTACTGCACCAGCACTTGGAGAACAGGGTTGTTGGGGTGTTAAGACTTGAATTTGTATTTCAGTAGTGTTGCTTGAAGATGAACTTCAGAAAACACACGTTTTTCTGGACCTGGAGTGCCTTGTTCTGTACAGCAGCTGTTCTGTAAATGTTGAGGTTTTTATTGATGTCTAATAGCAAACTGTTAGACAAATTCACCCAGTTTAGCCAACAACTGTTGTGTAATACAGAGAAGATGAAATAACTGAATTTTCCCTTTCTATGCTGGGGTTGAATTTTTGCCTCACAGTATTCAAAATATGTTTTCCTCAGAGGGAGATGCTATTCTAGAGTTCAGTGAAATTATGACACCAACACTTTAAAAGCTCCTTGACACCAGTTTGCAGTAGATTTTGTTGCTAACTCAGAATTGTCTCCATGGTTCCCCCAGTCTCTGAATTCCTCTGTGATGTCAGAGCATTTGTCCATGTCTTTCCCATGCCATGTAAGTTCTGTATCATGTATAACATTAGACTGGTGTGAGGTGTGATTTATGTGATTGCTGGAGCTAAAGCATGAGAAGGAACAGCCAGTATTTAACTTCCTCACATTCCTCTGTCCTAACGCAGAAAACCTTTTATACACAAATCTTTCAAGTGCTTCTGGCTCAGGTTCTGCATTTTCCCTTTTGTTTGGGTTCTGAATCCCTGCACACCAGCCCTGGTCAGCCTGACCTGTTTCTGCCACCTGCACTCCACAGTACAGATTGTGCAGAAATTCTTGAGCAGAAATCCTTCTCTATAAATCCCATGCCCATCAACACGTGAAATGTGTTGTTCTTCTTTCTGAGCTGTAAATATTTTTAAAAGCCATTTTGCCATTTATGTTCCCTGTGGGCTTTTTCCAGTACAGGTCTGCTGTTTGTATTTTCCAAGTCACTTCTTTTGCTCCTGCAGCTCAAATATCAGCAGATCAATTGGGTGCTGCATTCTCAGTCTCTGTTACAAATTCCTCTACAAACTTGGCCAAATCACTGGATTTTTCAGTGTTCTGTTTGTAAGCTGTGAAATGGCACCTGACTCTTCTCTCGTGGTGTTTTTTATCTTTTCAAAGCAGTGTATGTAACCTTTGCTGAATTATAAATTAAAACTTATTAAAAACGGTAATCATGGCCTGAAATTGTTTGTGACTTTCACATTCAGTGAGGTGGGCAGGGCAAAGCTGCTCATTGCTTTCTTGTAAATTTAAGCCTTACATTCTTTGGGTTAACTGACTTCTCTTTTCTTTGTTTTTCAGGAATGCCAGACCTTGTGCAAATCATGTTGGGGTGCTCTGGACCAGCACTGCAGCTGCAACAGGGCTGTCCCTTACTGTCCCTCGCTGTTCCTGCTCCACCCAGAGCATTCCCAGCTGTGCTGAGCAGGACGTGGTGCTCTCAGGGAGAGGTGAGTGCTGACCAGCTCACTTTGCCATGGTTCCCACCTGAAAGGTGAGTACAAAGTTATTCCTTTCCTCTATTCTTTGACAGCAGTAAAAATGTTTGAGGTTGGTTGGGGTTTTCCAGGTTGGTTTGTGGTGTTTTTTTGCTTGTGGGAGTTTCCAAAGAGGCTTATGGCCACACAGGGCTGAAGGAGAAGGAATCCCTCTCTCTGGCTTTGTGCAGTCCTTGCACAATGGGGTGCTGAAAATCCCCCAGTGCTTTATAGACTAACTAAAACTAATTATATTTGTCTTTTAATTGAGCCCCTTTGGGACAGCAGCTGGTGCAGTTTGTGGATATTCATTACTTTTTTAGTGCCCTCTCTCCTGGGTTTAGCTGGCTTCTTTTTTTGGCATATACATGTGGTTCAGCAATCAGTATTTCCCTGTCACTGCAGAGCAAGTTCTGGAATGGGCCAATTCCAGCCTGGGAGGGGGAGCAGCCTTTGGCTGGGCATGGGAAGGGACACATGGGCTTCAGAGCTCTTGAGGGGAGGCTTCAGTGTTTGCACCAAAGAGAGTCTATGGAACCTCAGCTCCCTCAAAAGAATTAATTTGATATTTATTGTGTGAGAGATTTTGAGCAACCTGGAAAGGCTGGTGAGGGTGGGGAGATGCAGTTACTTTGTTTCTGTAGATTATCTGGAATGTTCTTACATCCTTTTCCCTGAAAGCACCCTCTGAGTGTTGGATGCTGATTTGGTCCAACAGCTCCTGAGAGACCAGTTCTTTCTGGGAATGTCCACATGGACACATCCAGTATGGAAAAGAAAGCATAGTCTGGCTCCTCAGGTTGGAGAGAGGCTGGTTTACAAGTAACCATGGCAACCAGGCTGTCACTGGGAGCATCAAGACATTTTCATACCAAAAATAAAAAAGCACAAACACAAAACAGACATTCCCACTCCAGCCAGTTTTGAGATCCTGCTCTCAGTTTTGTTCCTCGAGGATGCTGGCAGCAGTGGCAGGTGAG